TTTGCTTATTTTGAAATGATCACCAGGAATTTTCTTGAGGTTATATGGGTACATATCTATTATAAAATATCTAAAGTCTAAATATAATGCCTGTACAAAACCTATTTTCAAAAAACTTAACTTGCTTAAATTTTACAACTAGGTCAGTTCATGTTCTCATTCAAAAAATATATCCTTTCTCTAAAATCTGAAAATATTTTCATGAGAAACAACCAAATCACAGCTAGAACACAAGGCATGCAAACTTCTGTCATTGACCATCATGTAGAAGCAATATGTGGCAGTGTGCAATATTTGTGCATCCTTTAGAAAAAAAACTTAAGATATCTATTATCAATAACAACTTATTCCACTACAGACTACAGACTATTAAGTGGCTCTTCAACACATTATTTTTCTTTGTGGTTATCTGTGCCTTTATCTCATACTACTTGTGAGGGAACCTAAGCTAACAGGTCTTAAAGATGTTATCAGATTTCCTTGCCAATGATCTTTGTTTTTTTCTTTATCAATTGCTTTAATCTGTAATAATATTATATATAATGGCAAATAAAATAAATAAGTAACAAAATGCATTTCAAGAATGAATTGATGGATGACTTATCGTACTTTTAATTTTTTGGTCACATAAATGTTGGTGTTGTTTACCTTTGCAGTTGCTTGGAAATGATACTACACAACAGTTTGACAATTTAAAGGTTGACCTGAGTGATGTGAATGTCTTTAGCAATGACACCCGCAACAGCCTGACTGAACTTAGGGATTCAGGAGTTGATAACATTGATTTTGCTTCATTTTTGAATGAGGTAAAACTGTAGTTTAAATTAGTTGTTTGTTGTTATTTTATTAACAGCTTTATTGCCTAGTTTTTTTTTCAGTTATAGATTATTGAACTAGAAAACAAATTGCTTTGCAGATCCCAAAACAATGAATTCTCTTGTACACAATGCTCCAAGCTATAACCATTTTGGTTACCATGGCAAATGAAAAATATATGCTGCATTCAAAATTTCAGAATTCTCTTGTACACAATGCTCCAAGCTATAACCATTTTGGTTACCATGGCAAATGAAAAATATATGCTGCATTCAAAATTTCAGCAAAAGTTGCCAATTGGCAATCAACAAATTTGAACAAACAAATCTTGAAAATTCATTGATGTTTGGTTGAGTTATCAAATGTACAAACAGTATCTGCTGTCTTTCTTTTTTTCTCTTTCCCTGTTCTGTAACTCTGATATCCAAACCGTTTTAAATATTGTTTGTTACCAGTCTCAAAACCTTGCTTTAAATTGTTATTGCTGCCAGACATCAGAATCTCTTCCTTCTCTTTCCCTAGCGTGTTATTACAATTTTTGAGGTATATTTTTAAACAAAAAAGTTACTCAATGTTAGCAAATTGAGTAGTGCCCCCATGTTGGTCGCACCAAACAGGTGCCAGCATTAGGGTATGTAACTCTTACTAATCAAATTGCCACCTTATGGTATGTATCTTGCACTAATCAGAGTATTGTCCTGCATGCCAATCATGTCATGAAATTCATCATCATCATCATCATCCTTATCACTTGTTGCATCAATAGGCACATAAGGCTGTCACGCTGTCCACCTAACCCCCCCTGTTTCGTGCCGCTGCCTTTGCCACATCCCAGCTCTTCTACTCTGCTTTGCCTCTCTCTTTTGACAGTCCTTCTGCAGATGGTCTTTGGTCTCCCTTTTACTCTCCGACCTTCTGGTGTCCACCCCAATACTGTAAAACAGTCTTTCACACCCTCTCTTTTGAGCAATAATTATTGTCCTAACCAGTTCTACCTTCTTCTTTGCACCTCACAGTTAATTTCATTTATCATTTTCATTATCATGAGAGCACTTCTTTTGGAAGGGCTACTTTTGCTGACTCAGGTAAAAACAGTGCCAAGCATTTGTATTAGAAGAGAATACTAGATCAATAATCTTGTTTTTGCCTTGTGATTGCTCTTTTGGCTGAGGTCGAAAAGATCAGAAAGTTATATTTACTTTCTGTGTTGACTGCCATGTTAAATATTGGTTTCTGTGCTTCTAAAATTTTTCATGAATTACATTTTGTGTTTATATGGTATTTTCCAGATACAATTATGTGTTCACTTGTCTCTATTAACTAGAATTTTGACTTAACCCTACCTTACTGAAAAATTTCATATGAAGTAAATGCTACTGCTGGTCAATTTTCCATGCAATTCTCA